AAATATTTTAATAGTAAATGAATGGATTGAGAATGCTGATTAATGACCTGGTCAATCCATTGATATCACGTTTCAGCAGAGGTGTACTGTAGACCCACAGAATAGTTTAAGAGAAATTGTACAATTTACCTTAAAATACAAACTAATCCAGAGATTCCCATAGTCAGAAGAAAAATAAAAGGTGTTCAACTAATTGCAGTATAACACAGCATGCTATGATAAGAGGGAAATCTGACCGTTCTCAAGGAATGCAAGACTGCCTTTCAAGACTGCCTTTCAAGACAATAGTATTTTCAGTAGATCATGAGAAAACAAGGTCCTGATCCAGGAAAGCACATGCATGACTTCAAGCTGGTCAGTAGTCCGGTTGATTTTTAGCATTCCTTGACTTCACTGGGACTTCTGCTTAAAAGTAGCACACATACTAAAATGCTTTGCTGGATTAGTGCTCAAGACACTATTTTTATTCATTCAAAAACTGAACCCGAGGGGGAACAAATTGTGCAATTTTAACACAATGTTGAAGTAAAGTGTAATTCTATCAAAATTTCAGGTAATGCTAATGGGACCCTGATATATTCAAATTCTAGAATACTGCAGACACATTACAATAAATCCATTTTCTAATTTTGCTTACTGAACAAATGTTGCCTTTCAGTTCCCCCAGTGCAAACTCTGTGAACCAGATTTGAGAGTTTAGATTTTAAAAGGAAATGAAAAGCTTCTTTATGAAAACTATCAGGTGAATTAATCTTCACTCAATGCAGATAGATGAAGGAGATCCAAGAATAATTTTTTAAAGTATTTTGTTGATAATGTCCCACAGGATAGATATTAGGGGGCATTAACATTCAATTTTTTAGTAGTTAGACTCAAAAGACAAAATAATAATGCCCATTTTCTGTACACCAACCCTTGCCCACCTCTTCTTGCCCCCCCCAAATTCGCAAATCTTCACAGTGATAAATGTAAATTAGAGTAAGCTTTTCCTTAGCCCTTGTATATGCTCCAAGAGCTACTGACATCAGCTCACGTCTTCGCATGCACAGAACAGATACATACTGCACTCAGCATTTTTTTGAAAATACTGGCAAATCCTCTGAAGTCTAAAGCACTATTCTGTTTTATTCGCACCATATACACATGATACTGCTTCGAATCCACATGGAGCACAAATACCGTACCTAACCTTTATAACCATACTGACACGATTTATGAACCGGTCATAGTCTGTGAAAACATGAAGAGCAGAATTTAGCCATATAATAATTCCACAAAATCTCTCAAAGAATAATAGATTCCTTAAACAAAGGCTCTTTTAAGAACCACCATTCTAGTGTAAAAAATTCTGTGACAAGAAACCTATTTAAAGCTGTAAATGAACATATTGCATACAGGAAAATTAAAGTGGGGATACAGTTAAAAAGCGACAATTTTACCACAATGGTTCAAACTGCTAAAGTTTTGAATGCTTTTAGTGTAGGCACAAAAATGTATCCAACTGAATTTAAAATTGGATCTAAAACACATCACCTATTATGCTAAAAAAACAAGGAAAAACAAAATGTATTCCTCAAAGCTCTAATGTGAACATTATACTCTACAGACTAATACAAAAATACCTCTTCCTCCCTTCTGCATCTTATCCTAAGGAGACCTAACTCTCTCATATTGTTTCAACTCTATGGCAATGGCTGACAAATACACCTTCTCCTTTCATGTCTCCTTCTGTTCTGTCATAAATTTCAGCTTTTTTTTTAAAAAAAATCTTTCTAGATGTCTTGCTGACAACTCGTTTAAAATGGCTAAAAAGGAGCTCCTTATATTTTCTTCTAAAACCTTTCTCCCCTTTCTCCATCCTCTGGTTTTGTTAACATCACCTCTGCCCTCTGTTGCTGTTAGTCATTTCGGCTTCACTCTCTTCTTCCCACACAGGCTAAGTTACTTATCTGACATATTGACAAAGAAGTATCATCTCTATGCTGTCTCCATGCATAAGGTGCCTCTGCGACTTTTATTTCTTTTATATGTCCCCCAGGTCAAATGTTCATATGTATTTGAAGTTTTCCCTTCCAGGGCAAGCTCATATTCCTGTCCCATCCCACCTCCACCTAGAAAGATGAAGTTAATTACGGTTTTCTCCTCTCCACCTGCCTTCTTGTCTTTCCCGAAGTAGACAGCTAAAAACACACATTCCAAGAAATTCAGGATGACCAAGAAACACAAATCTGAGAACTCGATAGCCTTTCCTGTTCAGAGGTAGGCAAAATCTCCTTCTCCTCTGAATCCAACAGGAAAGCCATTCCCCCCCCCCCCCTTTTTTTTTTAAACTGATGACTGGACTGTATTATAGAAAAGGTCCAGTCGACGCTGGATGTGTCAGATGAGGAAGAGGACAAAGTTTCGTTTAAAAAAGGAATCCACTAAAAATGAAAATATCCAAAGAAGGAGCTTGATTTAGTCACATATTTTTTTCATTGTATCTAGAATGTATTTCAAAGGGCTGTGCCCAGAGCACGATAAAACCAACAGCTGGACTTGACTTAAACTCTATAAAGTCTAGATGGACAAATATACCAAACCTCAGTCCCCAGAAAAATCATGGAGCAGGTCCTCAAGGAATCAATCCTGAAGCACTTACACGAGAGGAAAGTGATCAGAAACAGTCAGCATGGATTCACCAAGGGAAGGTCATGCCTGACTAATCTAATTGCCTTCTATGATGAGATTACTGGTTCTGTGGATGAAGGGAAAGCAGTGGATGTATTGTTTCTTGACTTTAGCAAAGCTTTTGACACTGTCTCCCACAGTATTCTTGTCAGCAAGTTAAAGTAGTATGGGCTGGATGAATGCACTATAAGGTGGGTAGAAAGTTGGCTAGATTGTCGGGCTCAACGGGTAGTGATCAATGGCTCCATGTCTAGATGGCAGCCGGTATCAAGTGGAGTGCCGCAAGGGTCGGTCCTGGGGCTGGTTTTGTTCAATATATTCATAAATGATCTGGAGGATGGTGTGGATTGCACTCTCAGCAAGTTTGCAGATGACACTAAACTGGGAGGAGTGGTAGATACGCTGGAGGGCAGGGATAGGATACAGAGGGATCTAGACAAATTGGAGGATTGGGCCAAAAGAAATCTGATGAGCTTCAACAAGGACAAGGACAAGTGCAGAGTCCTGCACTTAGGACGGAAGAATCCCATGCACCGCTACAGACTAGGGACCGAATGGCTCGGCAGCAGTTCTGCAGAGAAGGACCATGGGGTTACAGTGGACGAGAAGCTGGATATGAGTCAACAGTGTGCCGTTGTTGCCAAGAAGGCCAATGGCATTTTGGGCTGTATAAGTAGGGGCATTGCCAGCAGATAGAGGGACGTGATCGTTCCCCTCTATTCGACATTGGTGAGGCCTCATCTGGAGTACTGTGTTCAGTTTTGGGCCGCACACTACAAGAAGGATGTGGAAAAATTGGAAAGCGTCCAGAGAAGGGCAACAAAAATGATTAGGGGTCTGGAACACATGACTTATGAGGAGAGGCTGAGGGAACTGGGATTGTTTAGTCTGCAGAAGAGAAGAATGAGGGGGGATTTGATAGCTGTTTTCAACTACCTGAGAGGTGGTTCCAAAGAGGATGGTTCTAGACTATTCTCAGTGGTAGAAGATGACAGGACAAGGAGTAATGGTCTCAAGTTGCAGTGGGGGAGGTTTAGGTTGGATATTAGGAAAAACTTTTTCACTAGGAGGGTGGTGAAACACTGGAATGCGTTACCTAGGGAGGTGGTAGAATCTCCTTCCTTAGAAGTTTTTAAGGTCAGGCTTGACAAAGCCCTGGCTGGGATGATTTAATTGGGGATTGGTCCTGCTTTGAGCAGGGGTTGACTAGATGACCTCCTGAGGTCCCTTCCAACCCTGATATTCTATGATTCTAAGGATAGATTTCTTTGTCTCCAGGCTGAGTAAGGTGACTGATACCACTCAAAGGCACTGCGTTTCTTAAAGACTCAATTGATAAAAGCATAGAGCAATGGCTTATAATGGGCCTTATGAAACTTTAGTATCTTCTCGCAGAGCCACTTTGGCCTGTGCAGTTGCGTCCAAAGCTGTTATCTCGGGTCAATAAAGCCTGTGCTCTCATCATTTTGAGGGCAATGACATCAAAACTCTTCAAACACTCTTGAAGGGCTTTTTAGTTGTCATGCTTGATCTAAAATATATTGATCTGGACTTCAGGGTCTGTGCTCTCACTTTATTCCATCTTGGCAACTTTCTGGCCAGAGGGAAGCAAAACCTTCTCAGAGGAGACTTTTTAAAGTTATTGTTACCTGGGTTTCCACTTCTTTATTATGCATTACAAAGTAGATTTGGTGGCCTCCTCAGGTTTTAGTCAGATGATCCTGCCCTTGCTGTCTTGCTTTTCCTTCAAAATAATCCAAATTAAAACAAATGCTGCTAATCTTGGACACAGTCTTTGTAGTTCATAGAACTGGTTATTCTCTTTCTTGTGTCTCTTACTGCTTACGATTTCTAATTAGTTCATTTCTAGTTTGTAACACTGTTTTTGTCTTGACTGATAATTGGTCTTCCAATAGAAGTACACATCTGCCAATCAGGAACATCCATCCCTTGGATTTTTCTACGTTGTTGCCCTTGTTTTCCCACTTAGGGGTCTAAGGCACCAAGCAGGCTGTTGGATCCCTAAAGAGAATTTTCATAATTCTGCCTCCATGCATAGATTAGGTGGAATGATGTTTGTGTCCAGGTTGGTGCTTGCCCATTCCCTGAGGAGATTGTTTAATAGGTAAGACTGAATTGTCCTAAAAACTATTCACTACTTTTCATTTTTTGTAGGAGACACAAAATCCAACTTTCCATAGTATTTTGAGATTCCAGTACAAAGGAAAGAGTTGGATAAACCATCTAGTCTTTGTTCTCGATCTTCAATTTTAGTTTCCTGTTTGAATAAAACTTAAGAACTTACTAGAGGGATCTATATTCAAGTGGAAGTAATTTTAATTTAAAGATTTTACAAAAAAGGTGTGATTACATATTCCGTAAGCATTTTACAGGAATGCCTTTAGATTGTATTAAATATGAGAAAACAAGAGATGTTTCTTTGCAATGAGTAAGTAACTTTAAAACCCCATCTGTTGTCCAAAGTTCAGCTCCTCATTTTGAAAACTTTCAGTGGGTGTTAGGATCATTAAGTTCAGTTCCAATTCAGGCTGAAATTTTCTCATATCCCAAAAATATTCCATTTCGTGTTCACATTGCAACCTGTGTGTTGGTTGTAGGGAATCCGCGCTGCCATTACTAGAAATGTGTGTGAATTCCAAGGAGGATGACCAAGGCTGTATTTGAATTCACCCCACACACATCCAAAGCATGCAAGTGTTGAGCTGTGCAGAACTAATAGCAACTGTGGTGAACTGAGATACCTTCTTTTCGAGCATGGACAAATTATCAGAAATGCTGTAGTCTGTGACAGCCAGTATTAATGTGCTGTGGGAGGCAAGTCTTTTTAGCCCAGTGATTTGTGGGTAACAGAATAGTTTGTATAAGTATTTCCTCTTTTTCATTTAAACACATGCACTGGTTTGGTCACACTCAACATTGTCTCTAAATTAAAAACCTTTGTTGTGATCATCTGTCTCTTAGCAAACACTGACTTTGAAGGTGGCTAGTAACACTGTAAATATTTGATTGTTTTATGTAACATACAGTCCGCAGGTAAGATCATTACCAAGACTTCATTGATGGTAGGAAACCTCTCATAATAAAGACTAATAGTTCTAGATTTTGTAGTGTTTTTAATGCATTTTCTGAGAAGACATTATGCAGAAAGAGCAGGTGGATATTTGATATTAAGGGTTCTGTGAGATAAAAAGCAATGCTCTGCAGTTGATATTTCATTCATGTTTTAACTGTTAAATGTCCCAATTCAAAACTCACTACCTGAAGCACTGGTTAGGGGTTATGACATCATGCTAACATAAATCTCAATTTATTTTCTTTCTTTTTTTTCTAACGAACATTTCTAGTCTTGCATAGAAATGGATAGCTGGTTTCTTGACTTCCAGTTTAATGTGTGCTAATTTCATTAGCATATTTTAATAACAAACTCAATGATATGCAGAAAACTAGCATATTGTGGACTAAATACACCTCATGTGATAATCTTTCAAATATGATTATGATGCAATTCCATGTTTTCGTTTGTCTCATTATGGTTTACAGGAAAATATAATTCTTTTATGTTGGCACTGCAGTCAGATACTGCAGAAGCTTGTTTCTATAAATAGCCCTGATCTCACTGTCTTAGTGTTTCGGCGAGTTTTGACATTTACTGAAGTGTAGACAGTGGAAAGAGTGCTTTGCATGCACAATGAACCCTTCAGAACAGTACCAGGTGTTTTTTAGGGTTTTTGTTATTTTGTTTGACAGGCGTTGTTCTCTTTAGTGCTGACAAACACTGCATGGAAGCAGAAAAAGGGTATTTGAAAATTATATGGTGTGTTTAATTTTTTTAAGAGACACCAATAGAATACATAAGGATAGGCAAATATAAAATTTCACCCAGAAGAAAACTATCCTTACCTCATTTACGAGATGATTTGTACCAAATTAATGCTGTTTTTTGGAAACTGCATTCATGCCTTTGAAGTCTCCCAGCTGTTCAGTATACTTGTTCTTTTATGTGACATGTTTCTGACATGTGGAAATCGTTCTGACAATATTACCCTGCATTTTTAGGCTTTGAATAGTGCAACGGGTCAGCCTTGAGGAAATAAAATGTGAAATTAAACACCTTGACACATACAGTACTATTTCCAGTTCCATCTAGCAATGAAAACCACTGAAAATAATTCTTAGGGGAGATTTGTACACGTGCTTACTCATTCAGCTGCATCAGAAATAGCTGTCATCCTTTATTGTGTGCATCATACTATGCAAATACCTTGTTTTTTCAGAAAGGTAGTGTGTTTCATGGTAATAACTGAAAGACTGAGACCAGGGCTGCTTCATTTTATTTTTATTTTATACTAAAATACTTGACAAGCTGTATTGGCAGAATTTATCTGAAGGGCAACACTAGCATGGCAGTAATTAGAGGGAAGGCAAACTCATTAGTCAGAAACAAAGCTAAAGAAAGTCTTGAGAGGGTGGGGATGAAGGGAGGGAGGTTGAGCCAATAGTTTCTGGAAACCACTGGACTCCTAAATTCAGATACATTGATCCAGAAGGAGTGTGTTCCTCCCTGGTGTGTTGTGGTTTGAAATACACCAGGGACTACAGAGTTACTGTATGTGTTGAAATGCTCTTGTGCTGGGTTTTTGCACACACTGTCTCCAAAGCTTGCTGTCTCTCAGGCACGTGGTGGTATGTCTGTACTCTATTTAATCTTGTTTTTCTTCCCCCAGCCTTGAGCAGAAACTTACCTTTGGTGTATTTATAGGAGACTGTGGTGATTAATGTAGCTTCTCCCTTGGATCAGGAGAAAAGTGAGGAGTAAACCAGACTTGGTGGCTAGATAGTTAGTATTCTGTAGATTCTGTGGAATTTAAGGTGAATGTCTGTCTGTGCATGTGCGTGTGAGAGTGTCACAAAGCAAAAGACTAGTTTAATACATCTGCGTTTGAAGTTGACATTGCACCCAAAGTGTAACAAAGGTATTGTCTTCTATTTTACCTTACATAAACTATTTTGTGAGAAATCTATTTATCAATTTAAAATTAATTCTGGGACATAAATTTCCTTTGAGTAAAATGTATCTAAGTAAACATTACACTGAAAATGAGAAGATTTTAATTGAGCTCTTAAATTTTTAGATACTGAGGGTATGTTTTGTTTAAAATAAGTGTTTTTTAATGCATGTTTTATGCTTTAATGTTCAGTGTTTTAAAGACTGCCAGGAACACTATATCAGAAAAGAGAAAAATGCAAATTCTTTTGAAGAAATGTAATGTAATTTTTTTGTGTATAAATGTGACACTTCCCCCACTCCCTTTCAGAAAAAATATCTATACACACACATAGACAGAGATGCAATATTGCAGAAAGTTATTTGCCAGTGTGCTGGGGCAAGAAGAAAAAAAGAATACTAGTGCATGAAAATCCAGCAATGTGGTACTATATATAGACTTAATATGAAATAATTTAATGTAAAAAGATATCTTTCAGGAAAATATACGAGGAACATACTGTGTGAAAATATTCAATGTTTAGAGCGAACAGTTCATTATAGCAATTCTTAACCAACAAATGACTCCCATTAATCATATTTTGGGCAAACTATGAATTTCCAAATTTATCAGATGTAACATTTTTAACTAAGTGCCAGACTCTTAATGACTTCAACCGGTAAAGAGTGGGATGCTTTAGATCTTAGCTAATTTACAACATACATTTTCTTGGAAACCTCTAAATGTCTTCATTATTTTGGGGGAGAAGAATAGCACAGTGTGTTTTAGCATGTTATGAAAGTAATAGTAAGTGGAGAGACTGAACAGAATCCTTGCATATCTAGTGAAAAATAAATGCAGTGTCCTCCTTTTTACTGATTATTTTCCTACAGTGAAGGAAAAGATGTGGAGAACATAAGATAGTTTATTATTCATAATTGAGATCTTGTCTTTTAATTCATGGGTTTGGTATTTCTCATTAAAACTCTGAATATAGGCTTTGTGCTTTTGCTAACGTCATTAATCTGATTGTATTAATATGTTCTCAAGGCAGAACCTATAAAAGCAATTTTCTAGTCTACCATAAAATATTCATGAATACAGGCTTTTTTGTTTTGATGATGTGTTCATTAAGTAGAAAAGGTTTTATTGTTTTCAGGAGGGCTCTGCAGGTCAGAAGCATTCAGTGCTTCTGTTGGGAACTCATGGCATTTCAAGTAGTTTTTGAGACTGAAATAGTACGAGTCATGTTTGACGCACCACTCATTGAATACAATGAATGAGAATTATGGTTATGATCTCTGCAGCTGGCACACTGTGCTAGGACTTGAGACATTTTTTGTGGATTTGTTGCTCCATTGTATCTCTACTCAATATTAAAAATGTGACATTTGTTGAGTTTTCTCAGGAATATTAAACGGTCTTTTTTTTAACATAATGGAACTTAAACTGTTTTTACAGAGCAAATTAATTGTAATTTAGAGCTGAAAAGCTCTCTGAATTGCTCACTATACTCTTCTAAATACTCCAGTGGTTGAGTAATGCAAAGCTTTAGCTACTCCATTTGGTCTAATGCAGAACAGCTTAAGTATTGATTTCTTTTGCCATTTAATAGCATTTATTTTTTAAATTTAGTAACTCTGGCACTTGGGTCATGAATTAGTGTGTGAAGAAATTTTAGGTGCATATTTAGAACTGAAATTTCACTTAACGTGAATAATTTTGATGTAATGGTTCCTAAGTGAAGGTATGCAGATTAGCTCTGAAGATTAGCCAGGCTGAGTAAACAACTTCCACCCGCATTTTAGAAATTCTAATCTTTATTTAGTGTTTCCATAAAGATGTATGCAATACTGCCACCCCCAAATGTTCAGCTATCTTGTCAGGCCTACAAAAGTCATACACTGGACTTAAAAACCATGAAATTTAAGCACACAAACTTGGGAGTTCTTTTGATTTCCCTCTGGTTTTTGATCCTTTAGCATTCACAATTTCAAGTTCTTCTCTGCAACAATAAGGGCTAGAAACTTACTTAAAAAAAAATGGTGGGATTCTCTCATAAGAATTCTAAGCTGTGGCTGTAAGAAAAACACCAAACATTGAAAGATTCAGTAAAATTGTGAGAGCTAGCAAAATTGTGCGTAGTATTGTTCATTTTCATTATTTCCCTCTCAAAAGCTTTCTGAGGAGGGAACCCAAAGATAGCTGACTACTCTAGTATTAACTATTTCTTTAAGGTTTGGACTGTTTTATGATCATACACTGTATTTGATACAAAATTCCTGTATCTCATAATGGACAGAAGCTAGATTTGGTTGGACAGTCTAATTTGAGGCTAAATTCTGACTCTCACTGTTATGAAGTCAATACAGATTCTCCAGATTTACCCCAATATAACGAAGATCAGACTTTGCCCTCAGTAAATTATCTTCAGTAGATTCAGAATTACATAACACGAAAAACCAAATTGTGAGAAATGTATTGCCACCTATTTCAGATATAGTTATCATGCAGATTTCATACTGTTTACCGTGAATATGATGAATCATACCTATAGTCCTCTTGGAGCAGAGGCTTTGTCTATTAAATCTAAGGCCTGGTCTATACTAAGGGGGGGGGGGGGGAGCTAAGTTGGTCTAAGTTACACAACTTCAGCTATGAAAATAGCGTACCTGAAGTTGACGTACTTAGAGCTACTTACCGTGATGTCTTCACTGTGGTAGGTCGACTGCTGACGCTCCCCCGTTGACTCTGCCTATGTTTCTCGCGCCGGTGGAGTACCGGAGTCGACGGGAGAGCACTCGGCAGTCAATTTTTCGCTCCAGAGGTAAGTGTAGACATGCCCTTAAATGTTGTTTTGATGGAAATGGTAAATTGGCTCCTTCACAACCACAGTACATGTTGTTTCTGAAGATAAGTTGTGCATACTCTAGCTGTTAGAATTTTTGTTTTCTGCTGCCTGCTTTTTTGTGTGGATATTTTCATTAGTCTGCATTAAAGCATCCTGAGAGTTCTGGCAGGCTCTCAAAGATATGTACTCTAGGAATCTTACTGTGAAGATAGCCTTGTTCTATCTTGGGGGAAAAAACTTTCAAGTAACCGTGGTGGTGGAAATCCCATATTTAGGAAAATCAATTGTGTGCCTGTTCTTAAAATATTTTATACATTTGTATGTGTTTTCCAGGTTAGTATTTATGTTCAGAGATATTTGATAACACTGGAGGTCTGTCGTTACTCTGCTGAATTCTGAAGTCCTAGTCTCCGGTGTAGCTGGCCATCAGAGAATTCTCATAGAGCTGTGAACAGAATCTGTTGAACAGACTTCATAGTTGGAAGAGATCATAAGGGAAACATTAGGCCAAACTTCTTCTCAAATGATTTCTCCCCATCTGCTATAATGCACATTTTATGGCTCTATGTGAGCCAATAGTTTTTGAAGATTGAGGGAACTAGTTGAACATTAGTAAATGTATCTTCAGTCTTTAAAAAAAGAATCTGAATGCTTTTGTTCAGATTTTGGACTCTAGGAAACCGAATATTAATTTCAAACTGTAAAATTTCTTCCCCCTGCTCCCAAACCATTAATGTTCATATAGCATTGTTTAACTTTAGTACCCCTGAAAATTTATACTTAAATGCTGACACAATTCTAAACTCCCCCTTTTATGTCTGGCTATAAAATACCTAAACTGATGCATTATATCACAAACTCAAATTAAGAGCATCCATGCTAAACAAAATCTATGTTTAAACTGATTTACAGTAAAACTGGTACAACTTTGACTACAGATCAGGCCTTGGGGGGGAAGCTGTTGTATGGTGAGCTGTTTTGAAAATCTGGCCCATATTCTCTCTCTCTCTCCATTCTCATATGGCCCATGTTGTAGAGCATCTGAGAACCTCTCATGAGTAAGAACTACATTAGTGGTGTGACTCTCTCACTTCCCTTTTTACTGACAAAGGCAGGGTTTTTGTGTTTTTTGTTTTGTGGTAAATTTGTTTTTGGAATCTTTCTCTTTTTCATTTATGAATGTGATAGTGCCATTGGGGGACTGTGATTTTTGACTATTTTAAAGGGTAGTACTTACAGACTTTAGCTGGCCTTGGAACCACAGCAGAGTGAATTGTAAACACAAATATAATATATAAAATAACCATTCCAACCTATCTAACAGAGGAGTTCTCAGACTTTTCCATAGGATGGTCCTTATTTTAATACAGAGACTGGCTCATGGCCATCTCTCCCCGCATTACTGGCCACATTGCATCCTTATGGCAACTATTGCAATTGCTTCCATGGAAAATTAATGTTTAATTTATTTTAGATGTCTTTTAATGGTTACAGTTAATAACAAGGAGGAATGAGCACTATGAACCATCAGTTGTTTCCTAGGCCACTAGGTTGGGAGCGACTGATCTAACCCAATAAACTGTAAAGATAGCCAGTTGTTTAATTACATATTTCACTCCCACACTTGGAGATAGTGTTACAGTCAGCATAGATTTGTCAGGAACAAATCGTGTCAAACCAACCTGATAGCTTTCTTTGACAGGGTAACAAGCCTTGTGCGTAGGGGGTAAGCGGTAGATGTGGTATATCTTGACTGTAGTAAAGCTTTTGATATAGTCTCGCATGACCTTCTCATAAACAAACTAGGGAAATGCAACCTAGATGGAGCTGCTATAAGGTGGGTGTATAACTGGTTGGAAAGCCGTTCCTAGAGAGTAGTTATCAGTGTTTCACAGTCATGCTGGAAGGGCATAACGAGTGGGGTCCTGCAGAAATCAGTTCTGGGTCCTGTTCTGTTGAATATCTTCATCCATTTTTTAAAAAATGGTATAAAGAGCACACTTATAAAGTTTGTGGATGGTACCAAGCTGGGAGGGGTTGCAAGTGCTTTGGAGGATAGGATTAAAATTCAAAATGATCTGTACAAACTGGAGAAATGGCCTGAAGCAAATAGGATGAAATTCAATAAGGAAAATGCGAAGTACTCCATGTAGGAAGGAACAATCAGTTGCACACATACACAATGGGAAATGACTGCCTACGAAGGAGTACTGCGGAAAGGGATCTGGGGTTCATAGTGGAGCACAAGCTAAATATGAGTCAACAGTGTAAAACTGTTGCAAAAAAAAAAAAAGTGAACATCATTCTGGGATGTATTAGCAGGAGTGTTGTAAGGAAGACACGGAAAGTAATTCTTCCACTCTACTCCACGCTGATTAGACCTCCACTGGAGTATTGTGTCCAATTCTGGGCGCCACATTTCAGGAAAGATGTGAACAAATTGGAGAAAGTCCAGAGAATAGCAAGAAAAATGATTAAAAGTCTAGAAAACATGACCTATGAGAAAAGATTGAAAAAATTGTGTTTGTTTAGTCTGGAAAAGAGAAGACTGAGAGGGGACATAACAGTTTTCAAGGACACAAAAGTTTGTTACGGGGGGGGGGGAGGATTGTTGTTCTTAACCTCTGAGGATAGGACAAGAAGCAATAGGCTTAAACTGCAACAAGGGAGGTTTAGGTTGGACATTAGGAAAAACTTCCTAACTATCAGAGTGTTTAAGCACTGGAATAAATTGCCTAGGGAGGTTGTGGAATCTCCATAATTGGAGATTTTTAATAGCAGGTTAGACAAACACCTGTCAGGGATGGTCTAGACAATACTTAGTCCTGCCATGAGTGCAGGGGACTGGACTAGATGACCTCTCGAAGTCCCTTCCAGTCCTATGATTCTATGACTACCTGTTTACCTGTTATACACAGTCTTTAAATTAGAATCACCCATACAAAAATCTCCTGTTCGCAAATGGTCAGTGAACTCCAACCGAGATTCTTAGATTCATCTAGCTTTGTGATGATACCTGCATTTGAAACAGGATGCTATCTCTATGCTGCTGTTAGTGGTAAACAACTGTGTGTGAAACTACAGAGTGTAATGGTCTGTCATTTTCCCAAGCCAGATGTTCTATGGGAAATTTTCTATATTTTCTACAGTATGTTCCAGGGCACATACAAGATTCTAGTGGTGTCTATTTTCCTTTTTTGTGCTTCTGGATCTGGAGAGGAATGTGGGAGAGTGGGGGAAAAATGGAGCAGGGAAAAAAGACAAGAAGGAAAACAATAAGAAAGTGGCTGGAGCAAGTTGTAGGATGAAAAATAGCATTTCCAGCAAACTGACCTTTTGTTGACATAGTATCCACTTAAAAAAAAAAAAAGTCTCTCTTCCGCATAGTGGAATAGGTGGGCAGGTGTAAAACAAACAAAAGGAAGTATTTTTTCATACAACCTGTGGAACTCCTTGCCAGACGCTGTTGTGAAGGCCAAGACTGTAACAGAGTTCAAAAAAGAACTAGATAAATTCATGGAGGAGAGGTCCATCAATAGCTATTAGCCAGGATGGGCAGGGATGGTGTCCCTAGCCTATGTTTGCCAGAAGCTGGGAATGGGCAATGGGATGGGTCACTTGATGATTACCTGTTCTGTTCATTCCCTCTGGGGCACCTGCCATTGGCCACTGTGGGAAGACAGGATACTGGGCTAGATGGACCTTTGGTCTGACCCAGTATGGCCATTCTTATGTTCTTATATGGGAAACCTCTAGGAACAACTAGGTGCTGCAGAAAGTGGTGGTGGTGATTCATTAGGTAGAACACTCTTCTGAGTCTGTAGTGCTTGGGCTAGATAATTACCTTTTGCTCATGTAAATTCCCTCAATACTTTCATCTGGAGAATCTCTCTCTCTCTTTAATACAAGTAACTTCATCTGCTAAACTACTTTTTTGTGTGGTAAACAATTGCTACATTCCACCTTGGACGTGGCTGCATTTCACTGATGGTGTCAGTCATGTCATCTCTGTTCCTGTGTATAGTTTGGATATCAGCTTATGTGAAACACTTTTTTGACCTGCTACTGTCACTGGTAAAATTTAGGCAAATTGAAAACTTTGCTTACAAAAAAAATCCAGCATACCTCTCTTCCCAGATAGACTGCACAAGTCCATAGTGTGAGTAAGTCTGTCTGTCTTCCCTGTCTTAGTTTTCATACCGTAATTTACTTTCCATTTCAATGGTTTCCACTTCTAAACATACAGTAACTCCTCGCTTAACATTGTAGTTACGTTCCTGAAAAATGTGACTTTAAGCGAAACAACATTAAGCGAATCCAATTTCCCCATAAGAATTAATGTAAATAAGGGGGGAATAGGTTCCAGGGAAATTTTTTTCACCAGACAAAAGACTGTGTGTGTGTGTGTGTGTGTGTGTGTGTGTACACAGTATAAGTTTTAAATAATTTAATACTGGTACACAGAGATGATGATTGGGAAGCTTGGTTGAGGTGGTGAAGTCAGAGGGTGGGATATTTCCCAGAGAATGCCTTACTGCTAAATGATAAACTAGCAATCAACTGAGCCCTCAAGGGTTAACCCATTGTTGTTAATGTAGTCTCATACTCTGCAAGGCAGCATGAATGGAGGGAGGGGAGACAGCATGGCAGACAGAGACATACACAGTGTGTGTGTGAGAGAGAGAGAGGTGCGCATTGCCCCTTTAAGTACACTGACCCCACTCTAAGTACACTGCCTTTTTAAGTAGATCAACAAGTTGAGACAGAAGCTGCTGCAGAAGCTCCCTCTGTCCTGAGCCCTGTCGTGTCCCCACCCTGCTCTATATGGGGTAAGTGGGGTGCAGAAGGAGGGGGGGAACCCCTGACATTATCCCCCCTGTTCCCTTCCCACCCCTGCACAGCAAGCAGGAGACTCCGGGGAGTAGCTCCAAGGCAGAGAGCAGGAGCAGCACATGG